TGGAATTCCAGCAGACACGTGGCTCTTGGCCGGGTCTTCTGCCCACGAATGGATTTGTCTCCCATAACAGAGCTGCTGGTGAGTGAAGCTGCTCAGTCCAACCCCTCAGGGCTGGGTTTGGGGTTCAAACAGCCTCTATTTTTGATGTATTCCAGGAGCATGAAACAACATTCTGCTGATGTGTGAGATGCCTTTGCTGCTGTACCATTATATGATTTGCTTTCGTAGATCATTTCTAAATCACATCCCTGGCCACCTTACCCACCTTTGTGCACTGATGTGATGTCTCCTTTCTCCAGTCTGAGGAACAACATGTTTGCTTTTATTGCTATTTATTGCTGGTTTATTGCTGGCTTTATTGCTGGCTTTATCAGCCAAGTTGCTGAGAAAGTTAGTTTGTGGAAATTCCTTTGCATCTTACAACCATATTCCCACCCTTCTGCATCATTCCTTTTGCATCATTCCTGCAGAACTGTGTCTGTAAATTAATTGTTTAGTGACTGGAGGAAAGACAATAAATTAATAAAACCAGGACACTGTTGATTTTGTCAGTCCAGGATCCAGGTGAACACTCCAGGCAGGTCTATCAAGAAGCTTTTCAGAAAGGAGGTTTTGTTGTCTAAGAAAATAAAAATCACTGAATTTCCTGGAAGAGTCTGATACGAATTTGGGTGAAATCAAAGCTTGCCAACCCCCTGTTAACACTATATTGCATAACTAGTGCAGATTATTATGCTCGAGGGAGAGAGAATTCCCCAAAGAGCATCAGCAGTCAGAAAAAAAACCCAAACCCAACTCATTGCTATTGTGGAAAAAAAAGGGAGAAAACTTTGGCAAAGTGCTAAAGGAAAATTTGGGCAGTGGAGAATCACAGAAATGATTGTGCTGGCTCAGAGCAGAGTCCAGCGAGCAGCCTCTGCCAGAGCCAACAGGAGATGCTCAGATAAAAGCACAGAAGGCAGCAAACACTCTGTGATATTTTCCCAGTCTACTTTCCCAGCTCCCAGCAATTAGCATCTCAAGGACTTCCTGAGCTGCCAGGGCTGTCCTTGGGTTTGATATCCCCCGATGGATTTGTTTCACATGCTCTCGCTGCAGTTGTTCCTCGAGCCCGTGCGGAGTCGCAGCATCCGCTGTGATCCCCCAGCAGGAGCTGCAGGGCACGGAGCATCCTCCCCCTCAGGGCAGCAGTGACCACTCTGGGCACCCTGGAGGAGACTCCAAAAGGGACCAAACCTGGGACTGCTGGAGCCAAAAGTGTAAAACTCAATAGTCTGGGCGAAATGTGGCTCAAAGCTGGTTTAGACCTGTGTCCCCTGCAGGTTCAGCCTCACAGAAGGCTGGTTGCTGTTGTCTGCTCTCAAAAGATGAGCATGAACTACCAGTTCTGAAAGTATCTGAGTGTGTTCAGAGTCATGTCCCAGCTGGGAAGCTTGGTTGACTTTTTGTGGCTTTTGGGGTCAGTGGGCAAATTTCGGTTTCACTGAAGTCAGTGGGATTTTCTCCAGTGATTTCAGCCTGACTCCATCAGTGCTGACAACTGGCTTGGAGTGGAAAGGAAAAAAGTTGGGTAAAGTTGTTTTGGGGGCATGAATGCAGACAGGACTAAAATGTTTTATAAATTCTTCTTGGTTTGGTGAAAAATAAAAGTCAGGAAAAATAAGTCAATTCCTCCAAGATGTATTAGACCTTTTGTTACAGACGTTTACTGAATGTAAAAGTCTCCTCTCCTATTTTTTTCTGCTTGAAACGTGTTTTCCAATAGCCATTCCACCAGTGTATATGTATTTTTATATATGTATATGTGTATGTACATGTGTTGTTTGGGAAAGCATTATAGATTCTTCTACAAAATGTGAGTCAAACCATATCTTGCTCTGCTCCTTTTCCTAGTTGCCCAGTTGTTTGAAAACAGGAGTTTCCCCTCCTTGTTCCATTCCCAGCCCCACACGAGCTGTGGGATCACTGATGGCAGGGCAGATTTCTGCCCCTTCCCTTTGCATTTCCAATCCTCTCTTGCTGATGATCTGAATCACCAGGATAGGAAACAGGAAGCAAGTCCCTAAAATTGTGATGACAGAGCAAAATCTTGGGGTTAAACATGAAGACATACAGAGGAAATCTTGTCTTTGAAAATTCTTGTTTTAAGAGTGGTTTCATTCACCCGGCCCAGGGTAGGGGATGAGCAGAGCCCCTGATGTGCTGGTTCAGGTGATGCCCAGACACAGTTCAATGAGGCTTAGGTCCTTTTCAGTCCATCACTGCCATGTCAGATTAGCATCTGAGCCCCTTGAAGTGTTATAAAACCCACTTTCTCTCCTCAATTCTCATTATTCTACTCCAGAATTTCAAGCTGAAGCGTTGTATTTGGAGCGATCCCATGGAATACATTCAAAGCGAGAAATCCGCGTTTCACCCGGTGTTTACACAACCCCTCAATCTTCAGGGTACTCCCAGCACAGCCTGTGGCCAACCTTGTTTGTACACAAAACATTTCTCTGATTTATTGTGGTGCCTGCTTTTATTTAGGCTGTGATGGCCGAGCTCACCCTGAGTGTGAGCAGGGGCAGCTTTGGAGCCCCGTGATGGGAAACACCGGGAGATCCTCCAGCCCACGTTGGGTTGGATGGTGACACCTCTCTGGCAAAACCTCAAGGGCTCTGTGTGAACATCCTCACTTTCTCACCTCCTCTTCTCCCTGGACAGTCACCATCCAACATCTCTGGCTGATGGAAGGTGCCTCCAGCACTTTACTCGTGGTGCTCCCTGCAGCAGCAGGGTCCCTGTCACCAGAGCTGGCACAGCACGTGCTCAGCAGGTGTTTTTCCAAAGCCCTGCTCTCTTTGGATGATGCACATTTCCAAGAGAAGTGTCCATGGAGCACAGGAATGATGTGCACTTCTCTCTGGGATCCCTCCACTGTTTCTAATCCACGGCTCTCAGCCAAAACAGGCTTCATGACCTGCAGGCTATTCTTTCCCCTGATTTCAGTTTCAGATATTTCTCCCGCGCTTAAAAAGCTGCTTTTGGCACCTTTTCCAGAACTGAAACTGCAGTGGTTTTGCTTGCCCACATTCATGGAGGAGCTCAGGAGCAGAATGTCACCCCCACACCTCCCCTACTGTGCATCATCCCACTCTGCTTTCAGAGAAAACGTTGGATATTTTATCCAGAGACAACAGCAACTGAGATTTCAGACCTACAAACCCAAATCAGAAGAGGGTCTCTAACAGCAGACTATGGATTGCAGCCCTGGGGGACGAGACCCTTCTCACATTGTGTTTGTGCAGCCCTGAGTGTGGGGGCTCCTTCTGCACAGAGGAAAACCAGCCCGAAATAGCCTCGTTAGCCAGGAATGTACCGATGGTGGCCCAGAGGTTTCAGTCCTCTGGGGCTTTCGGCCACGGGTGGCACTGGCAGGCAGCGGCGTCACAGGGTGCAGGGGGTGGAGGCAGCAGAGAAATGGGCTGGCATTTTTTGGAGGGGAGGGCAGACTGCATCCTTCGGAATGTCGTTTCAGCCGCTGGCCTCCCTCCCCCGGCCCCCACGGAGCGCTCTGAACTCCCACTTGCTGGCTAATGCCTGTGACGGGACCCCTTGCGTGAGTGTGAGGAGCCAGAGCCAGTGCTGCTGCAGGGAACACGCCTCTGCCTGCCAGGAGGAGGGAGCCAAGCACGCTCCTCTCTCTCTTTTCTCCAAAGATTTACAGTCTCGGTGGCTGGATGCCGACTTCCCTCGTCTGTGCAACAGCGTGGGATTAGCTTGGAGCTGGTGTGTGAGGAGGGGAAGAGGTGAAGGGGAGGTTGGTGTGAGTGCTCAGGACTCCCAGGAGTGTGCAGGTCCCCGGGGGGTGGGAGTTGGACTGTGTGTGTGAGCTTTATATCAACAGATTAGCTGGGGGTGAGGAATGAGTGAGGGCTGCTGTGCAGCCACTCCTTCCTCTCTGAGCACCTAAGTCATAGAATCACAGCGTAGTTTGGGTTGGAAAGACCTTAAAGATCATCCAGTTCCACCCCCTGCCATGGGCAGGGACACCTTCCACTAGCCCAGGTGGCTCCAAGCCCCGTCCAACCTGGCCTTGGACACTTCCAGGGATGGGGCAGCCACAGGTTCTCTGGGCAACCTGTGCCAGGGCCTCCCCACCCTCACAGGGAACAATTTCTTCTCAATATCCCATCTAACCCTGCCCTTTGTCAGTGGGAAGCCATTCCCCCTTGTCCTGTCACTTCATGCCCTTTCCAGCTCTCCTGGAATCCGTTTAGGCACTGGAAGGGGCTTTAAAGTCTCCTCAGAACCTTTCTTCTCCAGGCTGAACAGCCCCAGCTCTCCCAGTGTCCTCCAGCATTTTGAAAAATCTCACCCTCCACTTAGTGAAAAGTTGCTCGGTTCCACCTCATTTGGCTTTCAAGTGCTAAAAAAAAAGAAAAATCGAGTCCAAGAGCTACAATCCCTCCAGCACAGCCCATTCCCCAAATCCTCTCCCACAGAAGCTATTCGGGGCCGCACAAACGGGGGCGAGGGGACCCCCGATGTGGTCAGCTCGGACAGCTCGTCCTGTCCCTGCAGCCGCGGGCACCGGCCGGTCCTGCCCGGGCACCCCGGGGACACCCAGTCATGGGGTCACCACCTCTCCCCCTCCTTCTTCCCTCCTCCACGGGTGCCGGGGGTTCCATCGTGAGGGGAGTGAGGGTGGTCTTCGTTCCCCCCCGTCAAATCTCCTCGCTGGCCGGCGGGAGCGGCCGCGCTGTGCCCGGGGCAGGGAGCGGCTCGGGGCCGGGATGCGGAGCCCGGGGAAAGGGATGCGGAGCCCAGGAGAAGGCAGCGGGGCGATGAGCGGCTCCCGGGGGGAGCGGCGGGGCCGGGGCCGGGGCGCTGCCGCGTTTATAGGCGGGCGGCGGGCGGAGGGCTGAGCCCTCCCCGTCCCACAGACGCAAGCGGGGCGGTGGCCCCGGTTAAAGGGGAAACTTGACAGCGCCGCCGCCCGCTCCGCTCCGCGCCCCGCTCCGCTCCCGCCGCCCAGCCCCGCTCGGCTCCGCAGCGACGTGAGTACGGAGCGGGCCCCGCGCCCACCGCCGCGATGGGCGGGGGGCGACCGGGGAGGGGAGGGGAATGGCCACACCGGGCTGCAGAGACCCTGGGAGAGAGACTGGGGGAGCCCCCCTTCCGCCGTCCAGGGATCCTCTAGGGAGAAGGGTCAGGGCAGCCCCCTCCGCTCCTCACTGAGGGTCCCGAAGGGAGGTGGGCTGGGGTGAGCTCCCTCCTTCGGCCCGGGAGAGGGTCCAGGAGAGCCGCTGTTGGCGGTGCCAAGGGGAGATAGCTGAGGAAAGTCTCCCCCACCCCTGAAAAGGGTCCAGGAGAGCCTCTGTTGGCGGTGCCGGAGGGAGATTGGCCGAGGGCACCCCCGGAGAGACGGGCCGAGGTAGCTCGCTGGGGTGAAATGGGCCGAAGTAGACGCCCCCTTCCCCCCCACCCCCACGGGGGTCGTCCGGGAAAGCCTCCGCTGGGGAGGGGGCCGACAGCATCACCCCCGGTGGTCCCATGGGTGGGTGGGCAAGGTACCACCCTCCCTTCCCGCGGAGCGGGGCCGGCGCAGCCCCTGGGGTGAGATGCGCCGACATCGAGCCTTCCCGCCGCGGGCGGGGGGGACGAGGAGCAGATTCCCCTTGCGGAGAGGGATCGGAGCCCCCCTCAGGGGAGAGGGGCTGGGGGAGCCTTCTCGGGGAACCGTCCCCCTGGGAATCCTGGAGAGGGGGGCTGGGAGAGCTCTCTCGGTGAAATGACTTGGGGATCCTCGGTGAGGTGACTTGGGGGATCCGGCTCGGGGCAGGGGCTCGGAGGACCCCCGGGAGTATCGGGAGCGGGTCCAGGCAGAGGGCTCGGACCCCCGTCCGTCGGCGGGGCCGAGGGAGGGGGCCCGGGCGGCGGGCGCTCCCCCAGCAGGATGCCCCGGAGCCGGCGGGGCGGAGCGGAGCGTCTCCTGCTGCCCCCGGCCGGCCGGCCCGGACAGACGGACAGACACACACACAGACACGCACACAGACTCAGCGGCATCCCTGTCCCCCTCCAGTTCTGCCCTCCACCGCCGCCAAGATGCTGCTGTTGCTGCTGGGGATCATCGTGCTCCACGTCACCGTGCTGGTGCTGCTCTTCGTCTCCACCATCGTCAGTGTAAGTACGGATTTTCCCCTGGCACCGGGGTGCATGGGGAAAGGGGGCCAGGGGCATGGCAGGACAAGAGCAGGAGCTGGTATTTTTATTTATGGCTTATTTTACAGCCTGGCTTTTAGCAGGAAGCTTTTACTTGCCGCTTGCTGGTCTCATTAACAGTGGGATTTTGGGATTTTGGAGTTTGTGCTGTCAGGTGTAACTGGGGGGGTTTTTTGTGTGTGGTGTGGTGGGTGCTCAGGGCATCCACGTTAGCATAGAGCAGTGTTGAAGCCCATCTCCTCATCATCCCTGCATTGGTCCATATCAGGGAGCAGTCTCAGAGCACCCAAAATCCCCTCCATGGGGGTGATGCTGCTTTCACTCCCCTTTCATGAGGGAGCCCTACCTGCTAAAGGGCTCCAGCCCACAGGGCCAGTACGGCCAGTCCGAGCGAAGCCCCTTGGCACGGGGCTCATTTGGGCACTGGCTCCTCGGCACCGGCAGTTCTGCTCCCCAGCCCTGCTCCTCTGGGGCTGTGAATTAGGCACAGACTGTTTCCTAATCCAGATGGGCTCCTCCTGGTGATTTCCAAGGCTTAAACTTTGCGAGGAGCGGGAAGACTGAGGGCTGGATGCGGCACAGAGCCTTCCCAGCACTGTGCTCGGGCTGGAGCCCAGCGAACACGTCAGCTGCTCGGGAAAAAGTTTGACTTGGTTTTAAGGCAGCCGTTCTGTGGAGCTGGTGACTCGCGGGGTTTCTTCGCCGGGGGTTTCTTTTTTTTTTTTTTTCCCTTCCTCTTTTTTTTTTTTTTTTTTTTTTTTTTTTTTTGTGGCAATAGTAGTAGAAGACGTTACAAAAATCTTCCGAGTCGTTAGGAATCACGTGGAAGCATTCAAATATCCCGGTCGAGAGGAGGGAAATGCGCATCCCCTCGGGACTCGCTCCGTGTTTAAAGAGCATAAAGAGCTTCTGTTTTTCTGCCGTTGAGGCGAAAGCAGTTAAAAGCAAATATCAGTATTTACTTTCCAAACCTCTCTCTAAAGGAAAGCGTGTGCCTGGGAGCTCCTGGCCGGGCAGACACGTGCCGGGGTGTGCTGGGGCTGCCCGGGGCCGAAGCTTGGGGGGGGGACACGGCGTCCTGCTGCCCCCAGGGCCCTGCTCACCGGGCTGTGTCTCTCTCGCAGCAATGGCTGGTGAACGGCGAGCACACGGCAGACCTCTGGCAGAACTGCACCTCTGGAACCATCTTCCACTGCCTGGCATCATCCAACAATGGTGAGTGCTCCCTGTTGCTGCCCCTCGCTTTTATTCTCCTCCTGGGACTTATGGAATCAAGGGGGGTTTGCCTGTGAGGGTTATTGGCGATTCCTTCTTTGTTTTCCCTGCATCCCTGAAGTTGTTCCACCCCATCCTGTTGCCTCCTCTGCTCTGTCCCCACACGGAGGGGGGTGGCTCTGCTGTGGTCCTGGAGGGCCACAAAGGGGGGATTGCTCCCCCCGCCCTTACTAGTCCTTGAAGTTGTGATGGGGCTTAGCAAGGAAAACAGACCCGATGCCCATCACCCTGCCCTGTGCCCTCAGGCTCCTGGCAGCACCGTGGCTGGGTGTTGGCACACTGAGCCACAGTGCAGGTGACTTGCTCGAGCCCTTTTGAGGGCTCTCCTGTTACCAGCCCATTTTTCCACTTGGATGTACGAACACGAGGTGGTCCTTGGAGCAGGGCTTGCTCTATTGCCCTGCTGGGAGCAGAGGGGCTGTTTTGGGCACTCCTCCCTCTTGCTCTGGTCTGAGGGGGTTTTAGAGATGCACATAGTGCTCCAAGGACAGCCTGTCTCCTGAGGACACCCCATCCCTACCCAGGAAGCTGCCCTGTGCTTTCCTGCTGTGACAGGAGGAGTTTTTGGGCACGACCCTTGCCCTGTGTTTTGCTGTCGGGCACTTTGAGGGATGTGCTGAGTGCTCAAGTCCTCCTTCATCCCGCTGCTGAGAGGGCTTCTGTGGCAGCCACACATCTGGGGGGCTGAACAGCCACCTCTGGACCAAGCTGGGTGAAGGCTGATGTCACACTGGGTGACATCACCCAGCGAGCTGTTTGCTGAGATCAGCAGGGGAGGAGACACCATGACACAGACTTTCCAGGGCGATTTATGGTACCAGTAACACAAAACCCGTGCTCAGGGAGTCAGGCAAGCCCGTGCCTCAGTTTCCCCAGAAGACAGAGCTAATGCCAGTGCTGCTGTGGCCAGCATTTGTTTTGTTAGCCTGGTTTTTTGCTTTCCTGTGGAAACAGATTGTCCCAGTGCAACCTCCAGTGCAAGCAGCTGTGAATCCCACCGCTGCCACTGGGAGCACAGGCACTTCATGCTGGAAAACGGTCCCAGTGTAGGAGCAGAGTGATGCCCCGTGGCCTTAGCGAGGAGGGAACAGTCACACCGAGAGCACTAGATGCTTCCAGAGGGTCTTGGAGCGATGGGAGACTGTCAGAGGGATTTTGGAGATTGAGGATTTTGCTCCCCCAAATGCTGCGAGCAAAACATTCGCGTTACCCCACGCAGGAAGGTGGATGCTGATGTCTTCCTGTTGTCTTCCCCGGGCTGAAGGCAACAGTGTGTCCCTGCGCGGGCCCAGGCTCTGGTGTCGGTGGGAGTGGAGCTCCCACCGCTGGTCTCTGCTGACGCCTGGTGGTGTCCGGGCCGGCCGGGAAGCGGCTGGATCGCATCCCAGGCGAGGAGCCTTCTGGAGCCGTGTCCTTCATCAGCAGTTGGCTGGTGCCGGCGATCTGCAGCGTAGGCAGCCTGTGCACGGCCAGTCATGCGAGCTCCCGAACTGCTGAGCTTGTGCTTTGCAATGAAAGGCAGCGACTGCCCCCAGGAGTCCCAGAGCCGAGGGCTCTAAAGCCTCCCCAAATCTTTTTGCTTTTCAAACCTGCGTGGCTTTTTCTGGATGTTTACAGGATGTTTGTGTGTTGGAGCTGTCAGTGTTGAGAGGGGCTTGTCCAAAATGCAGTTGGCTGCTTTCCTCCATGCCTGACTGTCCTGCTGCGTGTTTTGAGTCCACGCTGAGTTGGAGTGGATGATCCTGGTGGGTCCCTCCCAGCCCAGCATGTTCTATGATTCTATGACTGCCCTGTTCCCAGAAGCCACTTACATTTGGGCTTCCCTGTGAACCCTTTGCAGTGATGATTTTTTATCATTAAAGGGACTGTAGTCAAGATGACCCTGTTACAAAGGCAGTCGAGCAGCTGAGTTGGGGTGACAGCCCTTATCTAGTGGAAGGTGTCCCTGCCATGGCAGGTGGGTTGGAATGAGATGGTCTTTAAGGTCCCTTCCAACCCACACCATGATTGTGTGATTCTATGATAAGGTGCCCCAGTGAGCTGCTCGTTGAGCAGAAGTGCATCATGCTCAAGGCTTCAACAGCCCTCTGACAGCTCTTATTTATCCAAAGGTTCTGCTCTGGCATCATGAGAAGGGGGTTTTGCTTCAGCAAAAGCTTGTGTCCTGTCCACCCTGGGGCAGGAGTGTGGGAGCAGTGCAGCTGAGGACCTTCACCTTGTGGGGCCCTGGATGCAGGATCCTGAGCTCGCTGTTGCTGTAGGAACACAGAAGGATTTTTCCTGGGCTTACATAAGGCTTTTAAGATCTGTTTGTAGAAACAGGAAAAAAATGCCACATATCCTTTCCAGCAGGTCCTGCTCCCTCCCTCCCTGCTGCCCCATCCCTTGCTCCCACTGCTACCAGGGGAGCTGCTGTCAGCCACTGTTTGGAGCAGTAGCAACACAGGGCAAGGATGCTGTGGCAGAGCCAGCTCTGAGGCTCACACTTGTCTCCTGCCTCATCCTTACGTTCCTCATATGCTCTTTCCTAGGAATATGCTTACTTTCAAAAATAGGAATGATCCCCTATCAAATACCACAAACTGTCCTCAGTTCCATCCCTCTCAGGACATGGGCTGTGCTGCAGGGGGATGCAGACAGCCCTAAGAATTCCTTCCCCTGTGCCAAGGAGTGTACTTAATGGTTAATCCTGGAGTGCCAAGGTCTGCTCTGGGCTAAGAGCAAGGAATCCTCGTTTGGGAATTTGGGCAGAACTCACTCTTTACATAGAGGCAGTTTTTCTGGCCAGCGTAGTGGCTGCTGTGGTGGGGTTATTCCTTCCTCTCTTTTCAAAAGCAGTGGAACTCAGTAAGTGGAATTTGGGGAATTAGGTAGTGCTGGGTCACCTCTGTTCATCATGGATAGGGGCTTTGGGGGCTGGTTGTGCTGTGATGTCCCTCTTGGTCTCAGCACGGATGACCCTCCCCTGTCCTGTGGATGCACAACAAGAAGCTGAACTTGTAAAACCAAGTGCCAGGGGGATTTGCTTTTGTTTAACACTGAGGCAGGTTTGGGACTGTGGCCCTAACCCTACAGATAATCCCATGGGGGTGGAACAGGCAGCAGAACAATCCAAGGGCTGAGTGCAGCACTGCCAGATCGTGGCTTCCTGGGACATCAGACCTTGGGTACAGGGTGGCCCTGGCCTCCGTGGAGGCTGAGCTCCCACCTCCCAAATTCCTCTTGGAAGGGCTCAAACCCTTTGTGAGGGCTGAGCCACCCCTGGGGAGGGAGCTGAGGGCAGGTGCCCACTTCTTCTCCCCGTACAACCGCCCGCTTGTTGCTTTGATTTTTGCATTTGCTCGGCAGATAATGCCTTTTTTTTTTCTGAGAGGCCGAAAACTATGGAAAAAATGTTGCAATCTTTGCTTCGTTTGCGCTGTCAGACATTCCTGGAAAAGACTTATCTCAGGAATTCAGCTCTGAATCCCGGGATTGTGCGTCGGCAGGGCCCTGTGCCAGCCCCGGCTGCGCGGTCCCGCTGCCGGCACGGGGCACACGGCCGGGCCCGAGCTGCTCGAGTGCTCTCAAGTAGGTTCCACCCCAAGTGTCCAGACAGTCTGATAGTTTTTTTCTGGCCTTTTCTTTTCACAACTGAATTATTTATGCAGACAAGAAGACCTTTTTTTTCTGCTCTTCTTCTGATTTTGGTGGGAGCGCTGCAAGTGGGGAAGCAACAGGAGCATCCGTGGAGATCCCTGCGTCCTTCTGTAATGTCAGGAGATGTTTTTCCTGTTGTCTTTGTACAGTTTCTCCTGTTGCTGCTCTGTGGCTTTCCCATGACTGGCTTGTTCACAGGCAGGCTGGTGTTTTTTGGCTTTTTTGAAGGGAGAAGGAAACCCAAACCCTTGGGAAATGCACGGGCTGCCAGTCCACAAGATTGCTGAGTGCTGAGGGCTGTGTGATGCACCCACTGATTTACTGGTGTGATGGCCACGAGCTAAGCCCAGGTGGGTTGCCCAGAGCAAAGATCTGCCCTGGACCACCTGGGCAGGCAGGGATGGGCCTCCCATGGATGGGGCAGCCACTGCCACGCACCAGGGATTGCCCTGCTCCTCTGCACACCGACTCTGCCTCTTCCAGAGCCTCTTTCCCCTGGCAGATGGGTCCCTAAGCAGCACTGCTGGTGTTGTAAATGCATTTTCTTTGTGCTGGAGGAGGCGGGAAAGCTTTTCATCCCTGGAATGAGGCAGAAACATCTGGACCCTGACCCATCAGCTGCTCCCAGGAGGAGTTGTGCTGCTGCTTCTCCGCTTTAAAATGCATAACTGAGACATCTGAACCCGTTGCTTTTGCTCTGTCAGCTCCCCCAGAGCCTTTATTCTTTCAAACTCTTTCTTCCAGCAGTGCTGAACTCACATGGCATGGGAAAGGTGGGTTGGAGAGATGGAGGTGCTGTTTAACTTGTTGTAATCCTTTTTACGACTGAAAATGGTGTAGCAAGGTTTCGTTGAAGCCTTGTGCTGAGGAAAATTATGTCTCAATGTCTAATCCCATTATTGATAGTGAGTGTAAAGTATCTCAACAAAAAGAGATGGGGGGGAATTCCCCTCCAGCCCACTGGGAAGGCTGAGACTGCACCAACAGGATCGAGACTTGGAGAACGTGTCAGCACTAAGGGGACACTTCCTAGCACAGGAGGTGAGAGTCCAGTCACCCCAGCAAGTTAGATGTTCAAAGATTTATTGATATGAAGATTTAAACAATGATTTCAGCTTTTCCATGAAAGCTAAAGTGACCATTTGCCCACACGATGTGCATCTGTGCCCACAGCGCTGCTGCTGCCTTTTGCTTTACTTCTGCTGGGCAGTTGCAGACTGGAAAGAAATTACCAACTAGCAGGAAATTACCCTTGTTTAGCGGTGCTGGATGTGTTGGAGTGAAGGCCTACAGTGAATACT